GATCGTCCGGGGAGATCAACGTCACAAACGACGGCGCAACCATCCTCAAGTCCATCCAGCTCGACAATGCCGCCGCCAAGATTCTCGTCAACATCTCCAAGGTCCAGGATGACGAAGTCGGCGATGGCACCACAAGTGTCTGCGTGCTCGCTGCCGAGCTCCTGCGAGAGGCTGAGAAGCTCATCGCTCAGAAGATTCACCCTCAGACAATCATCGAAGGTTTCCGCATAGCTAGCGGCGCATCTCTTCGTGCTCTCGAGAAGTCTGCAAAGGATCACAGGTGCGTCCGCCGCCTCGCAATTTCTTCCTCATCGGATCTCATTCTATTCAGCACCGATCCCGTTCGCTTCCGGCAAGATCTGGTCAACATCGCATGTACTACCCTCTCGTCAAAAGTCCTCTCGCAGGACAAGGACTATTTTGCAAATCTCGCCGTCGATGCCGTTCTCCGGCTTAAGGTCCGTCCCTGCCCATACACAGGACTGAGATCCCCCCTCATCGCCATCTAGGGCTCAACGAATCTTGAGCACATCCAAATAATCAAAAAGGCCGGAGGGAAGTTAACGGACTCATACCTGGATGAAGGTACGCGGTCATTTAACTCCTCTCTGTCCTCCCTAACACCGCCCAGGTTTCATTCTGGACAAGACCATCGGCGCAAATTGCCCCAAGCGGTTGGAGAACGCGAAGATTCTCATCGCGAACACCTGTGAGTTCTGTCACCTATCGTGTTCCGCCACATGCGAATATTTCTTCAGCCATGGACACCGACAAGATCAAGGTGTTCGGCGCGAAGATCAAGGTGGATAGTACCGGCAAGCTTGCGGAACTGGAACGCGCAGAGAAGGTGCGTCTTCCGCGAGCGTAAGTAGCACCCCTCTCATGGCAACATGCAGGAGAAGATGAAGGCCAAGGTCGACGCCATCGCAGCCCACGGGATCAACTGTTTCGTCAACAGGCAGCTGGTTTATAACTACCCCGAGTCTCTTCTCGCGGACAAAGGCGTGGTTACCATCGAACATGCGGACTTCGAAGGTGTCGAGCGGCTAGCACTGGTCACTGGTGGTGAGATCGCCAGTACCTTCGAGCATCCGGAACTCGTCAAGCTTGGTCGATGCGAACTCATCGAGGAAATCATGATCGGGGAGGACAAGGTGGGGTACGATATACTCTTGCACAGGCTCTCAACTGAGCCAATCCTTTCTCCAGTTGATCAAATTCTCTGGCGTCGCGGCGGGCGAGGCCTGCACAGTGGTTCTTCGCGGCTCGACGAACCAGATGATCGACGAAGCCGACCGTTCATTGCACGACGCCCTCTCTGTCCTCTCTCAGACCGTGAAGGAGACGCGCATCGTACTTGGCGGTGGTTGCTCGGAGATGCTGATGAGTTGCGCAGTCGAGGAGGAAGCACGGCATGTTCAAGGGAAGAAGGCCATCGCAGCAGAGGCGTTCGGTCGTGCGTTGAGGATGATCCCCACGATCCTCGCGGACAACGCGGGCTATGACTCCTCCGACCTCGTTGCGAAGCTGAGGGCAGCACACTACGAGGGCCAGTCAGATGCGGGACTCGGTAAGTGATATGTGTCTGTAGCATTCAGTGCGAGATGGCTAATGCCTAACACTCGCTACGCCAAAGATATGAATGAGGGGAAGATTGGCTCGATGGTTAGTCTAGGTGTCACCGAGAGCTACAAGCTCAAGCGGCAGGTAGTGATAAGTGCTAGTGAAGCCGCTGAAATGATTTTGCGGTATGTACTCACTTGCGCTGACTCAGTTTGGCTTCTAATTCGTCATGGTGCAGTGTTGACGACATCCTGCGGGCGACACCTCGTAGAAGGGAAGCTGTATAGTAGTACTCAGTGCACCACTTGTATTATGACATGTATAAATGGCTGATGAAGGGGGTATTCTTCCTAGAAGTGTTTTGTGCGAGAGCCCCAGACATCACTTGCTTGCCACCAGTGATGACTGTACTGAGCCACAATCTGCAGTTCAGTTGGCGGGTCGACCTGTGGATCACGGCTCCGGATCTCGTGGCTCCGGCTCTTCCAGCGGCTCTGATCCATGCAGATCTACATCACTAAACCCAGGAAGAAATGACCTGCGCTGGATCGGGGTTGATCATCACCCACTCTTGTGGTCGTCTCCTGTCACCCCCGATTGGCTGGTGGAAGGGATATTCATATTTTGTCTTCCGTGAACATGAGTGTAACGGCCCGCAGGCGTTACATTGCCTCACGGACTCTGTCTCATGATTAGATTAGATATGTTCTGTTTGATGTACTTTGTTCCCTGATCTGGTATGTCTACTGCACACCTCGTTTAGGTACTTTCTCGTTCGCATCACACCCGGCCTCGTGCTCTGATAGATCGTAGATAAGATACATTTGTACTCTGTCACTTATACCGGCGTCCGCGCAGTCTGGCTCCCCGCCAAATCAACTCCTCTTTTTCCGCTCCCCACGCTCCGCTTCGTCCATCGGTCCCGATTGTCAACCCCGTCGTCCAGCCATTACAGTTTGATTCGGCCGCCTCTTACGACACCCCTTCGACCTCTACGTCCCACAACCTACGCTTCTTCGGTGCCCCGCACTCTTCTCTCGCCTCTCTAGCCGTCCCGTTTCATGTCCCACGTCGGCAGGACAGATCGTCGAATCTGACTGCCACCCTCCGAACACTCCGAAGAAGAGTTTGAAGAGACCCACGAGCAAGCCATGGACACCGACAACCCTCCGGTCAACCCACCTCCTGATGGCAACAACCCTCCACCAGCCAACCCCGATGGAGAGGAGACAGCCGAGGATAACGGGCCTTCACCCGAAGAGGTGCTCGTGAGCATGCTCAAAGCGGTACGTACTCTCCAACGTGAATCGGTGCAGTCCCGCGACGGGTTCAAATCCGTCCTTTCCAAACTCGAATCCCTGTCCATCCGCCGGGAGAACACCTCCGGCGTCTCCTCAGGCGGCTCAATCAAGTTCCGCGACCCCCGCACATACAAGGGGAAGCAGGTTGAACTTGAGCCGTTCCTCGAGGAGATCAACATCACTATTCGGTTGCAGCCCCGGCTCAACGATGGCGATGACGAAGTTAAGATTGATTATTTCATGCTTTATCTGGGCAAGATGCCGCACAATTGGTTCTCTGCACTGCTCAAAAAGAATTCCCTTCTGCGCGATGATTGGGAAAGAGCACGCAAGGCGTTTAAGATGTGGTTCGAGCACCTGTGGTTACCACTAATGTAATACAATCCCCCAGGAACGTGGGCACTTCATTATGCTGATACCCACCACGTTTTCATTGTAGAAAAGCCTGGTTGGGTTCTAACAATCACAAGCATGCCTGTGTTGTAATAACAGGCAGATGACGCAGAGTTATTACAGTGATCTTTCAGGCTGTCATAAGCAAATTCTGTAATGACAGGAGCCTCTCTGGGCTGTAATAAGTGAATTCTCTAATGACAGGGACCCCTCTGTGTTGTTATAAGTGAAATCTGTAATGACAGAGACCCCTCTGGGCTGTTATAAGCCTTATTCTTAATGACAGCACCCTCCCAGAGCTTGTATAAGTGACGTACTTTATAACAAAAGCCTCTCAAGCTGTAATAAGCCTCATTCTTAATCACAGCACCCTGCTAGAGCTGTAATAAGCCTTGTTAGTAATGACAGGGCGACACCTAGGCTGTTATAAGTGACGTACTTTATGACAAAAGTCTTCTAGCCTTGTAATAAGCTGATATTCTAATGACAGTACCTTCCCAGAGGTGTAATAAGCCCCATTTATAATGAAAAAGCAACCCCAGTGCTGTAATAACCCACGTAAGGTACTGTCTAGCTATTAATAGCCTTATATTGTGGCTGGCCTGGCTGGCCATTAATACCTGGCATACGGGTACTCTACCCTACCCTGCAGCCCCCAATTGGGTGAATAGTAGCTGCCTACAAGACAGTTATCAATAGTGGCGGATAGCAGCACGTTCCTGCAGCCAGAATAGGGTGCAATAGCTGGTTCCTGCACATAAACGGTAGGGGTTGCACAGCTGGGTGGGGTGGGAAAACGGCCAGGCACTATATATATATCGAAAGGAGCATCATGTAGCTTTCAAACGCATCCAAGAGCATGCCATTTGGAGCAGTATCAGCAGAGATACAGATGTACCCCTGTTTTTGCCGATAGGCACATCCACTAGAATTGGTAATTGTGGATGGATCCCCTCCGTTCTTCTTTCATAGTGTGTGGTTCTCTCTCCAATAGACGGGATTGAAGTCCGATCTGAAAAATATGCACACAATCTAGATTAGATCACTGATTACGCTTCAGCCACAGCACTTTTGATGGCTTGATATCTCTGCACCACATTCCCCGATAAGCATTTGGTTTGTTGCAGTCTCTTACATGCTCATATGCAAACACGCTCTGGGTGTCATTTAGACGTGAAACACTCTGGACATGTCCCTGCGCATCTGTGCACGTTCAACACCCCTTCATTCATAGCTCCACAACCACTGCTCAGATTACCAAGCATCTTGCTGTGTTATATTTAAAATCTACCGCCTAACCTGCTCCCATTGTCAAAATCGTTATCAGGATGTATTTTAAACATATCTGTTCTTATCTTTATTCCCATCAATTCCTGTTCCTATCTTCACCATATCGTCTGATAACATTGGACATAACCGATCTGAATTACTCTTTACTTCACGTATTAAACACATCAACAATCATGAGATTTGGTCAGGAACTCAAGAAGATATGGCATCTGCAGTAGCAACAGGGTGCACTTTTGCTTCGCAGCTACACCTCCCACTTCACACAACCATGCAATTGGGCCCACACAGACATTGATATGGTGTAATGACACATGGAACATGTTTCTGTATACTACTAAACTCAATAGAGCATAACTGCCACACTTGGGGGTGAGTATACCACTGGATGCTTGCATGTACGGGTGTTATGTGAAGAGGTTTTATGCCACACTGTGCAGCTCAGTATTGCATTCCAGGCCCTGATGTGACATCTCAGCCAATTCTTGGCCGATCAACAAGATTATTTTTGCATCTTGAAGCTGTGTTCTATCTGAGTTCAGATCAACTACATATACCACTATCAGACCAGCGAGTAGCCTCAGATCAGGAGGTAAACTGAAGGTGAGATATGGGTTTACCAAGACTATCAGATGTGCGATAAGAGATTTTGAACCTGATTTCGGCTCCGCTTTACAATGCTGAATGATTGCAGCAAACAGCATGGTGATTGGGGCTGCAGTTGTGGAGCTATGAATGAAGGGGTGTTGAACGTGCACAGATGCGCAGGGACATGTCCAGAGTGTTTCACGTCTAAATGACACCCAGAGCGTGTTTGCATATGAGCATGTAAGAGACTGCAACAAACCAAATGCTTATCGGGGAATGTGGTGCAGAGATATCAAGCCATCAAAAGTGCTGTGGCTGAAGCGTAATCAGTGATCTAATCTAGATTGTGTGCATATTTTTCAGATCGGACTTCAATCCCGTCTATTGGAGAGAGAACCACACACTATGAAAGAAGAACGGAGGGGATCCATCCACAATTACCAATTCTAGTGGATGTGCCTATCGGCAAAAACAGGGGTACATCTGTATCTCTGCTGATACTGCTCCAAATGGCATGCTCTTGGATGCGTTTGAAAGCTACATGATGCTCCTTTCGATATATATATAGTGCCTGGCCGTTTTCCCACCCCACCCAGCTGTGCAACCCCTACCGTTTATGTGCAGGAACCAGCTATTGCACCCTATTCTGGCTGCAGGAACGTGCTGCTATCCGCCACTATTGATAACTGTCTTGTAGGCAGCTACTATTCACCCAATTGGGGGCTGCAGGGTAGGGTAGAGTACCCGTATGCCAGGTATTAATGGCCAGCCAGGCCAGCCACAATATAAGGCTATTAATAGCTAGACAGTACCTTAGTGGGTTATTACAGCACTGGGGTTGCTTTTTCATTATAAATGGGGCTTATTACACCTCTGGGAAGGTACTGTCATTAGAATATCAGCTTATTACAAGGCTAGAAGACTTTTGTCATAAAGTACGTCACTTATAACAGCCTAGGTGTCGCCCTGTCATTACTAACAAGGCTTATTACAGCTCTAGCAGGGTGCTGTGATTAAGAATGAGGCTTATTACAGCTTGAGAGGCTTTTGTTATAAAGTACGTCACTTATACAAGCTCTGGGAGGGTGCTGTCATTAAGAATAAGGCTTATAACAGCCCAGAGGGGTCTCTGTCATTACAGATTTCACTTATAACAACACAGAGGGGTCCCTGTCATTGGAGAATTCACTTATTACAGCCCAGAGAGGCTCCTGTCATTACAGAATTTGCTTATGACAGCCTGAAAGATCACTGTAATAACTCTGCGTCATCTGCCTGTTATTACAACACAGGCATGCTTGTGATTGTTAGAACCCAACCAGGCTTTTCTACAATGAAAACGTGGTGGGTATCAGCATAATGAAGTGCCCACGTTCCTGGGGGATTGTATTACATTAGTGGTAACCACAGGTGGGACGAAATAGGTAAGATAGCACGTACATGCCGTCGTACGGGTAGTATGTGTACTTGTCGTGCAACAATTCAGCCTCCGTCGGAGCATCAGACCTAGACAGTGTCAACTCATTGACCCACAGAGGTTGTAGTAAGAGTAACGTACCGTAATATCTTCGCGTTCTTAGCAGTGTACCCGAAGGAAGCGATGTTGTAGTCCTCCACACACGTATCCATCTTCAGTTCCTCCGTGTGGACATACCGACGGACAAACGAATCTAAGGCTGTTTGCGGATCGATCCACGGATGATCCGGATCCGAACCCA